CCTCTCCAAGAATGCATTTCCGGCTCCTAACTCAGACGGAGCCAGGAAATACATTTGCATCCGAAGAAGTGGGCTGTAGTCCACGAAAGCTTATGCTCTAATAAATTTGTTAGTCTCTAAGGTGCCACAAGTCCTCCTGTTCTTCTTTTTGAAGAAATACATAGGGGAAACTGAGGCACCCACACAGTATTCAGAGGAAACATTAAGAACTTCTTCACACCCTGCTCCTGTGTGACCCCTCCTCCCCCTCTCTTGCAGTTCCTGGCGGTGGACACTCAGATGCTCCTGGGGAACAAGCAGTTGGCCCTGAGCCCGGAGGAGTACGTCTTCGCCGCCCTCAACCTCTACACGGATATTATCCAGATCTTCCTCTACATCCTGGCCATCATCGGCCGGGCCAAGGACTAGTGGGCGCCCGCTGCTGCGGAGAGTAGGGTAACCTGCCCCTGTGCCAGCCCCACCTCACTGCGTGTCACTGCCCCCACCCCAGCCCTGCTCCCCATAGCCATTTGGTGTGGTGTTTTCATGGCATCTCGTTGTTGGTTCTCGTGTTCTAGTTATTTTGACCCATGGTCCCCTCACCAGCTCTTCCGGGAGGACAGTGGGGCGGGGGGCAGCTGAGTGCCAGTGGGCTCATGGTTTTGGAAGGACCCATCCTGGGCCATCATGGGGTGAGGGACGCTCTCCATCCTTTGGCTGCCCGTGCTGTGTGGGGCAGGGCAGGGGTGTATACATCGCTTTGCTCTGCACCATGTCAGGAGCTGCTGTCTTGCTTCAGGGAATGTCGCTGCCTGGTTGAGTCCCAAGCATGCTGCTCCTGCCCTCTGGCAGCCCCCCTCCTCCTCCACGGATGCGCCCAGCTCCCTGGCACCCAGGGGCAGCTCTTTGGCCGCCACTGCTCCTCTCAGCTGTCACTAGCCAGCTGCGTCCCCAGCCTCCCAGTGGTGAATGGATTGAAACCCTCTGTGGCCCCATGCAGGCAGATCAGGCCTTTAGTGAGACGACCAGAGAGAGTTCAAAGGCAGGCTCTATTAGCGCCTGGGCCTGGAGATCTGGCCTGCTGGGCGGTGCCTCCCAAGCGCAGCCCCTGCCGGCCTGGCAGCACCTGCCTGCGTTCACTACAGTTGGTCATGAAGATGTTTGAGACCCTGAACCGGTGGTGGTGGTGGGCTGAGTGCAGGCCGCTCCCTGGAGTGCCCTGGTGTGCAGCCCCCTTGAGACTGCTTCCCAAGGCACTGTGTGTGGCTGGCCTGGGGGTGAGCGCAGGGATCTGCCCAGTTCCCCTCCCACGAGCACATGGTGTGGGCTGCGCCGCGGCCCTGCCTTCCCTTTCCATGCAGCCCAGCGGGCGGCCGGAGGCTGGGTCCCGGGGCCCCTGTTGTTCTGTATGTGACTGGCTGCTGCTGTTAATAAAGCTCTGTTTAGATGTGAGACCGGCACCTGTCCAGACTCTCCTTTCACCATGCCAGCCCTCTCCTGGGGCGCCCCCGGCAGGAGCAGCGTCTGTGCCGCCGCCTGCCCAGAGGCCTGGCTAAGCAAGCGGCACCAGGAGAGACCTGGGTGAGGCTGGGCCTGCGGAGCAGCGCTGGTGACCCCTGCTGGGCAGCCCAGAGACAGCTTCGCCATCCCCTCCCCACACCAATCCCTGGGGCCAGGGGGCTGCATTCCTGGAGCTGTGCAAACCTCTCCCGCCCCGTGTGCCAGCCCACTTGGCAGCTAGACACCGAAGGGAGTAAGGGGCTGGCTGAGGAGGTTCTCGCTCTATAGCAGGGTTACTAGCCCTTGGGCTCTGGGCCCCCTCGGAGCCGGGGGAGAGGACTTCAGCAGAGCAACAAGCACGTGTGCCTGCCCCCCACACCTGGGGGTATCACGGGGTTAGTGGGGGGCTTTCTGCACTGTCTGGGCCCAGGTGTGCTACGTGATGCAGCCAGCGGAGGCCAGCACCGAGGGATCGATCCCAGAGCCCCTCCCACCCCCTGGAGCAAGGGAAGGCCCTGACAGACCCTGGGGCCCTGTAGGGGCAGGGGTCCCAACAGCCCCCTGGGCCCCAACCACACATACAGTCTCCTGGTAGCACAGGTGGGCCGTGAGCAATGCTGAGCTGCCTGGACTCCAGGGGCAGGAGGTTCTGGGACGTGGCACTCAAGTGGGGTCCCTGCACTGCTGCATGCTGCCTGGCTGTCCTTGTGCCCCGAGCCCAGTGCCACTCGGCACTCGCTGTATAAACAGGATGTCCTAATAAAGTGAGAATGTACAAAGCGTTGGACTCCTCTCATCCTTCCTGCAGCTGCTGCTCCCCCTCGCTGCCCTCTCTCCTAGGCATGGCAAGACAATATCCAGGGTCATGAGGCCTCTCCCCACCGCCCGCCTTAGCATGACCCTGCCTGGTGTGGGTCAGTCCCTGAAACCAATGGCCTCGGGCAGCACAAACGCTGCCTCCCAGGCCCCACAGGCCCTGCTGGCTCTGTGCAAGTAGCGATAGGCACATGCCAAACCCCGAGTCATAGAACTGTAGGACTGATAGGGACTCGAGAGGACATCTAGTCCAGTTCCCTGCACTCATGCCAGGACTATTATCTAAACCATGTGTGACAGGTGTTTGTCTAACCTCCTCTTAAACATCTCCAAGGATGAAGATTCCACAACATCCCTAGGCAATTTATTCCAGTGCTTAACTACCCTGACAGTTAGGAACTTTTTCCTAATGTCCAACCTAAACCTTAACAAGAACAATTTTTCTCCTTCATGTCCCCTCAGTCTTCTCTTTTCCAGACTAAACAAATCCAGTGTTTTCAACCTTCCCTCATAGCTCATGGTTTCTAGCCCTTTTATCATTTTTGTTGCTCTTCTCTGGACTTTCTCCAATTTGTCCACATCTTTCCTGAAACGCAGCACCCAGAACTGAACATGATACTCTAGTTGAGATCTAATCAGCGCGGAGCAGAGCAGAAAAATTACTTTGTGTCTTGCTTACAACACTCCTGCTAATACAACCCAGAATGATGTTATGCTGTTGACTCATACCTAGCTTGTGATCTACTCTGACACCCCCCCCCCCCCCCAGATCCCTTTCTGCAGTACTCCTTCATTTCCCATTCTGTATGTGTGCAACTGATTGTTCCTTCCTAAGTGGAGTACTTTGCATTTGTCCTGATTGGATTTCATCCTATTTACGTCAGACCATTTCTCCAGTTTGTCCAGCTCATTTTGAATTTTAAGCCTATCCTCCAAAGCATTTGCAACCCCTCCCAGCTGGGTATCATCAGCAAACTTTAGAAGTGTACTCTGTGCCATTAGCTAAATCACTGGTGAAGATATTGAACAGAACCAGACCCAGAACCGATCCCTGCAGGACCCCACTCGTTATGCCCTTCCAGCAGGACTGTGAACCACTGATAACTACTCTCTGGAAACAGTTTTCCAACCAGTTTTGCACCCACCTTATAGCAGCTCCATCTAGGTTGCATTTCCCTAGTTTGTGTATGAGAAGCTCATGTGAGACCGTATCAAAAGCATCACTAATGTCAAGATACACCACATCTACCACCTCCTTTCTCCCCCCCCCATCCACAGGGCTTGTTACTCTGGCAACAAAAGCTGCTAGCCTTGTTTGACATGATTTGTTCTTGACAAATCCATGCCAACCCTTACTTGTCACCTTATTATCTTCTAGATGTTTGCAAATAATTAAGCAATCGATTTGCATCCATTATCTTTCCAGGTATTGAAGTAAAGCTGACTGGTCTGTAATTCCCCGGGTTGTCCTTATTCCCCTTTTTATGGATTAGCACTAGATTTGCCCTTTTCCAGTCCACTGGAATCTCTCCTGTCTTCCAGGAGTTTTCAAAGATAGTCGCTAATGGCTCAGATATCTCCTGAGCTCCTCGAGTATTCTAGGCTGCATTTCATCAGGCCCCAGTGACCTGAAAATATCTAAATAATCTCTAGCTCGTCTAAATAACTTTTAACTTCTTTCCCTATTTTAGCCTCTTCTGATCCTACCTCATTTTCACTGGCATTCACTATGTTAGACATCCAATCGCTGCTAACCTTTTTGATGAAAACTGAACCAAAATGTCATTTAGCACTTCTTCTATTTCCACATTTTCTATTACTGTGTGTGTGTGTGTGTGTGTGTGTGTGTGTGTGTGTGTGTGAGTGAGAGAGAGAGAGCGGGGGGGGCGGGAACA